AAACAAAAATCCTCACCACTGGACCAATAAACAGGATTCTTATCAATGGAGAAAAGATTGAAATTGTCAAGAACTTCATTCTTCTTGCATCAACTATCAACACTCATGGAAGCAGCAGTCAAGAAATCAAACAACATATTGCATTAGGCAAATCTGCTGTACAAGACCTTTTTTCAAAGTGTTGAAGAGCAGAGATTGTCAGTTTGAGGACTATGGTGCACCTGACCCAAGCCATGGTATTTTCAATAACCTCATGTGCATGTGAAAGCTGGACAGTGAATTAGGAAGACTGTAGAAGAATTGATACTTTTGAGTTATGGTGTTGGAGAATATTGAAAATGCCATGGGCTGCCAAAAGAACCAATAGATCCATTTTGCAAGAAGTGCAGCCAGAATACTACTTGGTGGCCAAGATGGACAAACTTCGACTGTCATACTTTGGACATATTGCAGGAGGGAGCAATCACTGGAGAAGGATATCATGTTTGGTTTGCTGGAGGGTCAGAGAAAAAGAGGAAGACCCCCAACGAGATGGATTTGCCAAGTGGCAGCATCAATGGATTCAAGCATGGCAACAGTAGTGAGGTTGGCCCAGGATCAGGCAGTGTTTCATTCTGCTGTGCATAAGGATGCTTTGGGTCGGTACAGACTTGATGGCACGTAACAACAACATAAAGAAGACCGAGAACCTGATGCACTAGACTGTAAGGTCAGTGGTTCAAACTCACCAGCCACTCCTCAGAAGCCCTACAGAAGGGTGGCTGAGTTGAAACCAACTCTACAGCACTTGACAACCAACCTCTTCAGTATGAAATTGATCTAACCTGCATCAACATGCGTTTTAGGGGGTGGTGGCTGTGTGCCATGGAGTTGGTTCCGACTTATAGTGACCTGTATAGGGTTTCTGAGGCTGTAAATCTTTACAGGAGCAGAATGCCTCCTCTTTCTCCCGTGGAGTAGCTGGTTTTGAACTGCTGACCTTGTGGTTCGCAGTCCTATTCATAACCATTTGCTACCAGAGCTAAAATGCTAAAGTTGGAAATCAAGCCAGGATACTTGGAATAACTGCTGGAGAATACGTGATTTAATTTTCTTTGAGGTTCCCATATATTCCATTAACCTTTTCCTCAATTTAGGACAGTCTATTTTATCCTGTAATCGTCTCACCACCAGGATCTCTGTTCCTTTGTTTACCTTCTTTCACACTGTAGTTGTTTTGATCACAGACTGGTCTCCCAGATCCTCTGAATTTGTTCTGTTCTTGACTCATCTATTTGTCAGTTGAGTTCTGGGTGGTGCTGCCACATATGTCAATTACTAGTTGCTCTGTTCTTGTTCCACTTAGGAAGGTTTGTACACAGGGGTGGCTTTGGCAAAATCCATTAGCTTCTAAAAATATCCTGGAATGTTTTGATTACACCAT